AAAACAAAGACACATACTAACTTCACAGGGTTAAATACTAAACAGTTTAGCAGTATTGGCAGCAATCGAATGAATTTAATAAGAAATCTAAGTGAAATGGTTAATCTATTATTGAAATTACCAGTAAACTTATAATCAATTTCAATATGAAAAACCTAAAATAATGCAAAAATTTCAAATTAAAAATAATTAAAAAAAACTAACCCTCGGAGGTTGATTTTCCATTTCTGAATGATTGTGAGGGATTTCTGACCGTGAATAGTTGTGAGGGATTTAGCCGGCGATGGGGACGGAAATCTTCGGAGATGGGGACGGATTTCACCGTAGAGAGTGAGAGATGGAGATGGGACTGAGTGTTGTGATTTTAGGTTTGAGGTTATGAGTTGCGATTACTGTGGACGGTTCAGTTTTCGATATATTAAGAAAAAAATCGTGTTTGGAATTTGAAAAACAAATGCGCGTTAATACGAATGGCGCTATGTAAATCGCATTGCGATAGTCAGATTCGCATTGCGATTTACGTATTCGCATTACGAATTAGCGATAGTCATAATCGCGTTGCTTATCTGGAAACTGATTTGCGATAATGGAGATCGCGTTGCGAATTAGCGATCGCATTGTGATTTTGTTGGTCATTTTGGCAAATCACGAAAAAGTTGGTTAAAATTGTATATTATATGGGATTTTTGGTCACTGAGGTTATTTTCTCTATTATTAATAATTTATATTGATACATAATATATTAATAATTTATTAATAATTTATAATAACAATAAATATAAAATTTTTATTATTAAAAAAAACCAGCGTGGCATCTGATTCAGAAGAACCTACGTAAAGCGCATCCCCTAGGATGCGCCTTTCACTCGTGGCATCCGACTCAGCATAAACCCAAGTAAAGCGCGTCCCCAGGGATGCCACGCGCCTTTGTGCCACCTCAGCCAAAAGGGTACTACTTCGGGAAATATTGGTCAACGGGTGTTATAACGGGAGAATTTAAAATAAAAAAGGGTCAGTTAGGTCAAATCGCCCATGAGGGAAAGTGTACCGTGAGATGACGTTGACACTTGACAGGGGCACCATGAAAAAAAGAGAGTAAATTACAATATTTTTCATTGAACTATACTTCTCATATTTTTCTCATCGTACTTTTTAATTTTCTAATTTACTCATTGAATTTTCGATTTTGATCTCTTCTAATTATTTTATTATTATTTTTGTATGACATAACATTTATTATTATTATTTAATATAAAATAAGTTAAAATATAAACTAAAAATACAAAGTGGTTGGACACCACTAGCCATCGTTGACCGCTATAGATGGTTAGTGTTAAGTCCCAAATTTCATTGGTCGATTTACCTCGGAACTTGCTCTTACGTTTATGAATTGAAGATTGAAAGTAAGGAAACCGAAATATTTCAGTCGAGATTAATTGGTTTTGAGACATATTTCGATGAAACAACTATAAGATTCGGACTCAGGGGATCAAGACAAACTGACCTATTAAATTTGGAATCGAACGACCATCTATGACGATCGACGATGGTCGACGGTAATGTTTGACCAAATTTTATTTTTTATTTTATATTAAATAATAATAAAAATATAATGTCATACCAAAATAATAATAAAATAATTAAGAGTAATCAAAATAAGAATAATTTAAAATTTTAGTGAGTAAATTAAAAAAATTAAAGTATGATGAATAAAAATAAAAAATATAATTAAGGAAAGATGTAACTTATAAAAAAAAATCGAGAGAGCCACAGTGAAAAAAATGCAAAACCAATACTTGAAATATAGAAAAATTGTAAAAAAAAAATTAAAATTTATGAAGACTTAGAATTAGGGTAGCGGAATAGTATTGTTTTAGTTTAGGTTTTTAACCCATTTGATTTTATTCATTCTCGTAGCTTGTTATCGTTGATTTCTGTGTATCATTCTCTTCATGTTTCCTCTTTTTAAATTTAGCCGGGACTTACGTTTCTGTATATATGCAGAGATTTTTACGCAGGAATTTATTTGTAGGGATTACTTCCCATTACAGACGCGCATATGAAGACTGTATATGAAGACTGTTTAACTATGTATTTATTTATTTATTTATACGTGAATTGTATTTTCTCTTTATTTTTAATTTTCCTACTGTCGGAGGTCTTCTACGGAAGCTGCTCTCAATCAGATGTTGGGGACAGCCTACTACCTTATCCCATTACATATAAGAATAGAATTTTATTATTGTTGTAAAAAAATTGTGATCCGATGAAAGTGGTCCAGTCCAGTGTAGTGTCCATCAATGTGTGAAAGCGACACGAGGCGAAGAGTAAACAGTATTAATATTGCAGGCAGCTAATTTAACATCCGCCGCCTATTTTTCACCATTTCCGCAAGCAACAACTCAACCCATACAAATCACGATAACCAATCATTTTAGATTTTTCAAAATTATTCAAATAAATTCCATATTTTACGTCAATTCTATTGCAGGCAGCTAATCAGTTTTTCTAGAGATCGGATCTCCTTAAACTTGCTTTAGAATATGTTGCCAACTCTTTTATTTAGTTTTACCAAGTATATATCAGTATATTAGAGCAACTTTTGATTCTGATAATTTTGTGTACATAAGATAATCAACATATACATTTAAATTTAAAATGTCATTATTATTATCTTTTGCAAATCAAAACATAGTTGTTGTTTTTTATGGTTGATGTGTTATTTTTGTGTATATGGTTGGTTTTTCATTAAAAAATTAAAAGACAAAAATAATAAATGTATGGTAGAAATCCTTTTTCAACAATCAAGCAATATATTTTATGGTTGTCATTTTAAATTGCACAGAATTTTCAAATCTCACCACATTTTAGGTTGTAACTCTTTTTTTATATTGCAACATTTTTTAAGGTGATGAGTTCTCTACGTAGTTATTTATGTAAAAATTTTATTAAAATATATAAATAACTTTATTAAAAATTAAATGTAATTAAAATATATATTAAACTATATACATATATATATATATATAAACTTTATTAAAAATATATAAATTAGAAATAATAAAAAGTATATTTTCTATGAGATTTCATTTATTGAAAAAGAAAATTATCTCAAGGGCAAATTTGTAAAATAAAAAATTTTTCTTATCTTATATTCATTTATTCAAACAATGTATTCTTGTATTCATGTCAAACAAACCAAACAAGATAATACAAGATTCCAAGTAATGTATTAAGTAATGTAATATTCCAATAATTTTATTCTCAATGATAATCGTACATTCCATGATCCAAACGCCCCTAAAAGAATTGTGAGTTTTTCGTATACGTGGAGATTAAGTTAAAATATTTATTAAATGTAACGATCAGAGTTTTTTAATTTTATTATTTATTTCAGTAAATGTAACGATCAAAGTTTTTTAATTTTATTATTTATTTCAGTAAAATTAAATGATTAAATTAAAATTTTATTTTTCCTTAATTGTTGTATTTAATAAATATTTTATTATTTATTTTTTAATAAATATTATATAATCATCAAATTATGTCAATAATATTGGCTGACTTGGAAACAATTAGCGTCAAAAAATGTACAAAACTAACATTTTTATTAGTTAAAACAAACTTCAAAGAATAAGATGTATCCTTAAACAACTTTGAGGGTTAAAATAATGTAAAAAAGTTATATGGACAAAAATAATAAGTTGAGACTAATACGTGAATAAAAATAGCCCTTAAGCTTTAAATTTATAATTTTAAAGTTTTAAATCTTTTTCAATTATATTTTTATTTAAAATACTGTTAAAAAATATGAATAAATCTTTAAAAATGAAACAATAATTTGAGACATAAACAAAGGTTTTATTTAGGTAAAATGTATAAATGGTCCATGATTATAAAATATTAATTTGTTGAGTTTCTCAATTATTAAAAATTATAAAATAATATTTTGATTATGAGACGTTTCTTTGTTGATTTCTCTTATTATTAGAACTTACAAATAACTATTTGATTGTTTTTATGTTTCAAACTCACATTTTTTTTACTAAAACAATGACGGTTGAATTGAATATTAACATACTGATTAAAATATAATAATCACATACTAGAAATAAATTTTATAGTTAAAAGATATTACAAAATATACCTATACTCAAGAACTACTGCATACTTTATCTAAATCTTCATAATAAAAATGTTTAATACAAAAATAAGTATTTAACTATACATTTTTTCATTTATGTGGTTAATTTTTTTTATTAATTCAGGTGTTTCCAACGTTATATTTTTATGTGCTTCAGTTGTTGTAATTAAATTTCACTGTTAAATAACACGTGTCACGCATGTAAGTTTGAAAATTTTATATTTAGAAGATTATAAGTTTTTAAAATTTTATAAGTGATATCATTTAACAACGATAACGGTTTAGACACCTAAAAATATAATATTAGAAACATTAAAAAACTGAATTAATCAAAAAGTAATTTAAACGCTTAAATAAAAAATATAATTCAGACCCTTAATTTTGTATTAACCTAATAAAAATCTCTTACGCCTGTTTTTAAATGAAAAAAGTTACGGTACATATGAATATTTAACCGCATTAATTCTTTAAGCTTAGCTTCCTTTTAGCCCAGATGCTGAAACAAGAACAATTGGTGTGAGGCAAAATAAATAAACAAAAATTGAATGAAAACAGAAGTCTAACTATTTCGTGTCTGGGGTACGAAATATTTTGTTTCCCATGTTTTTCCCCCCACTTTTTTTTTTCGTATATATTTTCTTCAACAAAGTTGTCCTATCTTCTTCTTCGTCTTCTTTTTTTTTTTTTCAAATGAAAGTGGCTTCCTTTTTGTCAACGGGCGTCTGAATTTTTGTTTAAAAACAAACTTATGGGGTTTGAATTGTTAAAGAAAGTTAGCTGGTAATGTTTGGTTTCGTATATCTTCGTCTTCTTTTGTATTTTAAAATGTTTTTCTACGTCTGTTGTTTTTTTTACTTTGTTGTTTAGTTAATGAGAAGATTGATGAACCTTGAATATTGAAATCAAGGGCACGTTTGGGCTGAGAGGATATTTTTTTTTCTGGTTCAAGGAGTTGCAAGGGATCTGATTTTGTTCTCTTACTCTTTTTTATGATTTTGCTGGTTTGTCGTTATGGGTTTTGTTTATTGAAAAGAGAAGAAAGGGGGAAACCATGTTGTTAATTTGGTAATTCTTGTTGTTTTCTTGCATTTTCTAGCCAAACAAGCAGGGTTTGAATGTATGTTCAAAATTCAAAATTTTACTGATCTCTATATTTTTTTTGCACAATTTTTGCAGGATTTGAACTTGGGTCGTGGCTTGAATTTCGAGGCTTAAAATGGGTGCTTCCTTTTGACTTTGTGAAGATTCTACAGTCAAATCCATCTGCAAGAAATCTGGGCCCGGCAATCATATACCAGCCTTGTCATCATCGTGGTTTGATCATCTTTGTATGGACTCATACATAAAAGAATCAGACAACTGAATTTTTGTTCTGTTTCTATAAAACATTGAACAAGAAAAAAAGGGTGGGAAAACTGATCTTTGTATCCAAATTTATACTTGTTTTATAGCTTGAACCCCTTCCAAGGGGGAAAAAAGCAAAGCTAGTTGTGTTCAATAGATGTATTGAAGTTCATTTTTAGGGGTTGTTGTTTTGCAGTTGAACAATGGTTTTCTTGTCAATCAAGTGCCTAATTTAAGCTAAAGAACTTAGTTTCCTGTTTTCAGAGACAGAAGGGTAGCTAGATCTTCTTCAATTTTGCAATTAGGAAAATGGGTTTTCTTTTTCATTGGAGGGTGACTTATTCTAAGGAGTTAATGTGAATAATTGAATAGGGTCCTGTCCTAGTTTCTGGTATCTCTCTGTATCTCTGCAGATTATCTGGAATGGAATAGTTAGCCATGTCGGTTGTACATGTCCTAGAAGCCAATATGGTGGGGCCAGATCAATAATGCAAATGTTTTGTTTTGTTTGTGCCTTTTTAAGACTTGTTGTTTTGGCTTCTAAAATGATCATTGGTTTCTAAGAGTTGAATCTGTTAAGTGAGGAAAGTTCTGTAGAAATTCTTGGTGCCAAATGAGTCGGGAACAGAAAGGGAAACAGGAAAAAGGCGGCTTGAATGCAGCCGAGAAAGTTGTTGTTGCTGTTAAGGCATCCAAAGAAATTCCCAAGGCTGCTCTAGTGTGGGCTTTGACACATGTTGTTCAACCTGGAGATTGCATTACATTGTTTGTTGTTGTTCCTTCACCTGGCTCAGGTACTATTGTCTTGTTTTCTGCTGGTTTTGATTCTACCTGGAGAATCATTTATTGAGCTTTTAAAACATTACTGCTCATGGTAACTTTTGAACCTCACTGTCCAAGTGGTTTGGTTATACCGTGTTCCGCAACTGGTTTTTCTGTCTGAAGAAGTTAGTGTTTCTTGTTTCCATGAACATGTTAAGTTATGTTGTGGCACAGAGAAATGTGATCAAAGCTGGAAAGAGTCATAATTAGGAATGATTATGGTGTTTAACTTATGAAAAATCCTCTTTATCTTCATTTTCTTCAATAACCCCAGCTTGTCTGTTAAATGCTGTACTCCAGGTAAAAAATGGAGTTTTCCAAGATTTGCCGGGGACTGCGCCAGTAGGAAGTCTCACTCAGGATCAAATTCGGAGAAAAAATCTGATATCACTGATTCCTGCTCACAAATGATTCTCCAGCTTCATGATGTTTATGATCCAAACAAGGTAAATAACTTGCTCTGGGTGCTCAAGTAGATTACTGTTTTATCTAAATGTCCTGGCCTGCTAATGCGTTGTTTCCCAACCTAACTGAACAGATCAATGTCAAGATAAAAATTGTTTCTGGATCACCTTCTGGAGCGGTGGCTGTCGAGGCCAAGCGAGCCCTTGCTAGTTGGGTTGTATTGGACAAGTAACATCCTGTTTCCTCTATGTCTTCTTCCTTTTGTTTCCTTTCCCCTTTTTCTTTTGTGTTTGATCTAAAAGGGGTATACACTCACTCCCATCCTTTTGTCTTTGTTTCTTGGATTTTCTAGGCAGCTTAAGCACGAAGAAAAACGATGCATTGAGGAGTTGCAATGCAACATTGTGGTTATTAAGAATTCACAGGCAAAAGTTCTCCGCTTAAATTTGGTTGGATCACCTGAGAAGGAAACTGAAGCATCTTGTCAATTAAAATTTGGGGCAAATGAAGCATCCAAAAAGTACTCCGAAAACAAAGATGCATCATCTGGTTCTATTCGAGGGCCAGTTGTCACTCCAGCTAGTAGTCCAGAGCTCGGGACACCATTTACCGCTACTGAAGCAGGAAACTCATCAGTGTCTAGCTCCGATCCAGGCACTTCTTTTTTCAACTCAGAAGGGAATGGAGACCTAAAGAAGGAGGAATCGTTGGTCATTAAAGAAATTGAGGGTCTTGATGAATGTGGTTCCGACCCAGAGAGTGAAAATTTATCCTTAGCTTCAACGAGTTTAAGGTTCCAACCATGGATAACAGAGTATCTTATTTCTCATGGTCAATCCTCACGACACCTTGAAGAAACTTCAGGAAGAGTTCACGATGGGGCCCAAGCTTCAACAACAAAAGCCTTGCTGGAGAAATTTTCAGAACTTGATAGAGAGGCTGGCATTGGAATATCAACTTTTAGGAGTGATACTGAATTTAGCGGAAATGTGAGGGAAGCAGTTTCATTATCGAGAAATGCCCCTCCTGGCCCTCCTCCATTGTGTTCAATATGTCAGCATAATTCACCTGTATTTGGAAAACCACCAAGGTGGTTTACCTATGCTGAATTGGAGCTTGCAACTGGTGGGTTTTCACAAGCTAATTTCTTGGCTGAGGGTGGGTTTGGATCTGTTCATAGAGGGCTACTCCCTGATGGTCAGGCGATTGCAGTCAAGCAACACAAATTGGCTAGTTCTCAAGGAGATGTTGAGTTCTGCTCAGAGGTGGAAGTCCTGAGCTGTGCTCAGCACAGGAATGTTGTTATGCTGATTGGATTCTGCATCGAGGATAGAAGGCGCTTGCTCGTTTATGAGTACATATGCAATGGATCCCTGGATTCTCATCTATATGGTATTTCTTTTTGTTGAAGTAGAATAAACTTTTCATGTTGATCTAATGCAACTGTGATATATATACGTTCATTATTTGTCCTGACCAGTGGTTCCTTCAAAGGGTTTTCTGTGTTGGCTTTGAGCTTTAAAAGAGCTTGTTTTGACTGTACCATAAATTTCATGTCTTTCAGGGCGTCATCTGGAACCTCTAGAATGGTTTGCACGGCAAAAGATTGCAGTAGGAGCTGCTAGAGGTCTGAGATACCTACATGAAGAATGCAGAGTTGGCTGCATTGTGCATCGTGACATGCGGCCAAACAACATCCTCATCACCCATGATTTTGAACCTTTGGTATGCAGACTTTCTAACTCCTCTGCATCGTTTTAATTTGGTATTTAAAGGCTAAAAGAATTCATTATTTCTTGCCTTGACATTAAGGAGAATCGTTTAGCTTTTTTTTTTGTTCTAGTAAAATATCTGCGAAAACTATGAAATATTTTATTTGGTATTCAAAATTTTAAAGGGTTTCACTCAGTTGGCGTTTAATTTTCCCAACATACGCATTAGTAGTACTTCCAAACTTATTAACTTAAATTTTTTAAAATATATGATAGGTGAAGCCATTGTGTAAGTTAACCTTTCATAGCTTTCTTGAATAATTGTATCTACAGGTGTTCATTCAGTTTTGGTTTTGACAGGTTGGCGATTTTGGCCTTGCAAGATGGCAACCTGACGGTGATACTGGAGTCGAAACCAGAGTTATTGGAACATTTGGGTAGTCTTCAAAGACTTCTTTTACCCCTTTTATAATTTTAACTTCCCTATATGCCATTGCAGAATTCAACAATGATTTATGCTGTACTATAGGTATTTGGCACCAGAATATGCTCAATTTGGCCAAATCACAGAAAAAGCCGATGTTTATTCCTTTGGAGTGGTGTTAATTGAACTAGTTACTGGACGGAAAGCTGTGGACCTTAATAGGCCGAAGGGCCAGCAATGTCTTACTGAATGGGTAATTTTGAAACTCGGCTTGTATATCTTGCTTCAAGAGACTAGTCTTTACTCTCATGTAACTTTAAGAACAATTTTTAAAATACATGATGCCACCTGCCATATGAATGAAGGGCTAAAACAAGAGTACTTATTGCTTATATTACGATCTTGAATAGGCATGTCCACTTTTGGAACAATATGCTATAGATGAATTGGTGGACCCCAGATTGGAGGATCGCTATTCTGAACACGAAGTCTATTGCATGCTTCATGCCGCATCGTTATGCGTAAGGCGGGATCCTCATTGTAGGCCTCGCATGTCACAGGTAAACTCACATACTCAACGCAAACATAGGTTGACTATCGAAATTTTGTTGAAGTGTTTATTCAAATGAACAATTGTCTCTGTTTGTTATTTTCCTAGCCGTATATTTCCCAATTTCGTTTTCGGAATGGAAGACATAAGTGGTTAGATATCAGATTATGTTGCTTAGAGTGTAATGTATTTGGAACCAATACCTTTGGGCTTACAAAAATATCTTCTTTGTCAAATCATGAATTTGAAGTCAGTAAGTCACTGCTCAATATGTTTCGGAATATTTTGCTGATTGCTTGAATGCTCTTTTGCAACAGGTGCTCCGCTTATTGGAAGGTGATGTGCTCATGAATGCAAATTACTCATCGCCAGGTTATGATGTCGGCAACCGTAGTGGCCGGTTATTGACAGAGCAGCAACGGCATTACAGTGGACCACTCGCTAGTGATTCATTAGATGGGTTCGGCGGAAAGCTCTCCCTTGACGGACCAAGGCCGAGAACAAGGCGGACTTCATGTGAAGATCATTTGTAAAAGGCTTGCTTACTAGGTTTCTTAACACACGGTAAGCCATATACATATGAAGCCTTTCCATGGTATTTTCTTTTAGTATTTACATCTTGCTTTTGTATAGTAGTAGTATTGGAAGCAAGGTTTTTAGTAGGGTTTTTGTATTTCTTTTTGGAAATGCCCATTGTCAAAAGGTATGGTGAAAATATGCCTCTTCTAAATTAAATCAATGATTCAGCTTGAGAAATTTGCTTCCTTCCCTCTCTTTTACATGCTTTGTACTATGAATTCAAGTAATTCAATCTTTATGCGATTCGATGTTGGTGCCATTGTTACGGACATTGTACTCCCAACAGAGAATCGAAGTCGGAACCTTGGTTTGGAGAGGTAGTCACGAACCCCTAAGATGGCCTGTAAGAATGCTGACATGGATTTTTGACCATTCGATGTAGCCTTCTTTCACATGTCTATTGGTATGGGATTTTGTTTTACAGTGCAAGGGGGGGGGGGAGACCAGTTGCTTTGAATCTTTTATTGGTGAGCACAAAAGTAAAAATTTCTTTTTGAAAGTTCGTGGTAAAAAGACTGGTTTTGCTTTCCCCATTGTTTTGTTTGCTGAAACTGGCAAAGCCGACAAAAAAATGGTCTGTAATTTTGTCTTTGCATGAAGAAACAGACAAAACTTGGGGCTTTGAAGTCGTTCATTCAAGCAGATGGTGAAGCATCCTTATCATCTTTACCTGTAAAAATGCTCATTTCTTTTTCCGTAACATGAAACTTAGCCGGCCATTGCATGTTTCTCTCACGATGACACAAGGCTGAAAGTTGCAGAAAGATGGGTCATACCACAAGGTTCAATTTTTTCTTACCTTGTTTTTAGTGGGATGCTTTAACACAAGTGAAGCCAATGGGGTTGGTTGCTTTTGTTGTCTTAATCTTCCTTACCTCTGTAACGTTGATTTGTCCTCGTGTTCTTTGGTCTGGTTTTGAACAATTGTGCTCTTTTTTGTGTGAAAAGTTGGCCGTTTCATGAATTTCAGTGAGGTGATAGCAAAAAAACCCTATTTTCATGGATAGTTCTACTGTACGTCAGTCTGATATAGGGCTAAAGAAAGATGTTATTAGAAATGTTAATATTTTTTAACATTTCTAGTAGAGCGATACCTAAAATGTTATTTTTTTTACCGAAAATACTAATTTTGCTACATAAAATGAATATTTCCGATATTAACATTTTCGGTAAAAAAATAACATTTTAGGTAACGTTCTACCGGAAATGTTAAAAAATATTAACATTTTCGGTAACATTTTTTCTTAGTCTGCCTTTCCTTAGACATCCCTATTTCCATATGATGAATTGGTTGGGGGCATTATATTAATTATTTAGGTTGGGTCAATTTTCTTACCTGGCTTCAGTTCTCTGCTCTGCAAAATCCACTTTGAATTCGAATTTCAAGAAAAATTCAGATCAAGGAGGAACTCATTAGCTTCGCGTATGACCATCCATGCATAAATTGAACAGCTTACCAGGTGAATAATTCATCTAATAAATGCACTGAAATCTGCCTTTTCCCCTCCTGGGTTCACATGATTTATGAGAATAAGATCAAATATTATAATTTGTTGAGATATCAGAACTGAGGGCAACATAATAAGCTAGCCTTTACAATGTTAGAAAATTAAGCCACCCCAACACAACAGGGATGCTTCCCTTTTGGACCCTTTCTTTTTGCAAACTACCACTTCAATTCGAGTGACGTTTTTCGAGTTAGTTATAAATAGTTCGCTTCACCTCTTCAAGAACTGAGTTCGAGTATTAACTAAATTTTGATCGAATCGAATTCGAATAGCTCACGATCTGTCTCATCTCATTTATGGTCCCAATCAATGTATTGCGGGCTTAATAACGAACCAATAAAAAATGAATGATTCCAACCCATCTTCAAATTCAAGAGGAAAATGTTTTCTCTAAAAGGTCTCACCAGAGAGAGAAGCTTGCTATTATGCTCGTTGGTTACTTGCTAAAATATGTGTCAGCATCACATGATACTAGCGTGTGTGTTTATCACCCATTTGAAGTTTTGAACACCCTTTTTATATATATAATGAGCCAGTCTTGCAGTGTATACTTTTCCAAAAAACTTGGATATATTTTACATTCCAGGTTTTACAATGCTTCCAAATTTCTAATATGGTCCAAATATGAAAAATCTATGAGCTTTATTATCCTAAGGTTAAATATGATTCATGGATGGAGTAAATAAGATCAATGACCAAATTGATAAAATTAAATAATTAGATGATCTAGTTGATAAAATTTCAAAACCGTTGATTAGATGGTCTAATCGACAAAATTAAAAAAAAAAATCAACGATTAGGTGATTTGATTGACAAAGATCAATGATCAAAGTAAAAGGAACAATAATTAAGTGATCAATGATATAGCTAAACCATAAATCTACATGTTCATACACATCATTATCGCAGATTTGGCTTAAAAGTTCAAAAGCTCGTTTTGTTTAATACAATGAATGTGAGAGATACGTTAACAAATCGTATCTGTCGATTAATCATATTACTAATAATAATCATTAATTTAATAAAATGAATTTTCAACAAAATTTTGTGTTTGAATTTCAAAACCGGAACACATGAATCATAGAAAAAGACATAACCGAACATCCAATGTAGGGCAGACCAAATATTAACATCAGATTATCCCAAACATTTAACTACAAAACAGGATTCGGCTCTTGCATATGCAATGTCTTCCAACTTCAAATCACATTTAACCTTTTCTTTTTGCCATAAAGCTATATGCCCCATATGACTTCTATCATTATGGCCACAATCATTCCGGACCAGACGGAACCCGACTTTATAACATCGTTTTTTTTTATTTTAGGTTTAAATCGAATCATATTTTAAATGAAGAATACTTAATTTAATTCGACCTAAAATAATATAAATATCCTCCAAATATTTAAAAATAATTACAATGATGCTCTAATCTTAATATTATTTTTCCATTAGATCCATATTTTACCTGATAAAAATAAATTATATATGTTTGTATATTATCCGATGAGGTGTAAGCTTTTACTCAAAAATCATAGAGTTTTAAATGGATGACTAAGCTTGACCCATTATATTTTTCCAGTAAATATCTTCATACTTTATACTTTTAATCTCAACCATCTGTTTTCATTCGTCCAACGGTCTAAAATTTATGTAAAACTAAAAGAATTCCACATCATTTACCATGATGCTATCCTATATATATGTTACGTATATTTAAATAGCAATATGAATACAACTAGACCAATACTTATCCGACACAAATGTTTGAAAAAGTAGCATGCAAGCCAAGCAAACGGTGTGAAACTGAAAGTGAAAGATCAGGTTACAACAGAAAACACAGAAAAGTACAAATCAATCGTCAAGAGCCAGAACCATAACCAGACTGTTTCAGCATACAGTTTACTCGGCCAAATTATCATAAACTATTCACTTAAACAATGGCTAGCTTTGTAGGGCATGTGAATGGAAAAAGAAAAGAAATCAAGAGTTATGAAGATGATGAAGGTCCAGAAACCAAGCCAGCATTTTCTTCATCATACAAATCATCGATCTTCCTCAACGAAGCGTGCAACAAGACCACAACCGCACCGATCGAAACTGAAGCCAAAATGTTGCAGGTGGCATCAGTCAACAGCAAGAACAGGAAGGTCGAAACTCCGAGTGCAACGAGAATCACGCGATCGTCAATCGAGCGGTTGAAAACAACCAAGGGTTCATCCCGCAGGAAGTACAAGAACAACCAAAGGGCCATCATTATAACGAGGACTATGAGGGAGATGGGGTGCCATAATAGGCTGAGGAAAAGGATGATGAGCACGATCATGGCGTAATTCATACGGAAGTAACACGCGTTAGTTTTGAACCTGGAAATGGCTTCAGAGAGAGTTCGAGGGAGGTTGATGGAGTGGGTGTTGAACATGAGTTTCCATGGACGTCGAGTTCCAAGGCCCTCTTGGATATGGTCTTTGGCTTGAGAAAGGCATTTGATGTTAGCCGAGGGCAATGAGGAAGTCGGGATCGTGCCATAGGTTGTCATGGCCAAAACAAAATTTCGAAGGCTTTGTTTTTAGGGAATGTAGTGAAAGAAAATCGAAAAAGGGAGGAAGGTGGTGAGGGTTAAGCAATAAAGCGTTTGTGAAGGGAGCGGGACGATGTCTTTAAAGATGATACGCGCTTCATTTACTCTTTTTTTTTAAAATATATTCTTAAATGAAGTTAAAATTAACTCCACTTTTTGTTATATAAAAATATAAATTTCGCCCATTTACTACAAAAAAGGATATTTTACTTTATAAGTTAAAAAAAAACAAATAATTTGTTGAAATTATAATTAATTTACTTAAATATTTTAGTTTTAACATCGTCCTCTTTGTCAATTTTGAAATTAACAGATTAATTCCTCTAAAATGACATTCGCCCAACTGTGATGAGATAATTTTTTAGATAAAATGAAAAAAATTATAATTTTATATTAATTTTCATAATTTAAATTTTTTTTAATCATTTTTAATTAAATATTATAATTAATTTCTTATTATTTTTATAAATAAATAATTATTTTATTTTTGATAAACTTTTACATAAAATTTCTTAAATACTTATGAAATCTATATACAAAATTAACCAAGAGTTTTTAAAACTATTTTTGTTTGCCCCAGACTATAACTTGAAATCTCTACTGTAGCTTCGTAAATTTATTTGGTTTGCACTTTTTATATATTGGGTTGAATAACAAATGTACAGCGTAATTAATTTTGATTCAACCAAACTATAATTTAGAAAGTAACATGAAATATTTGTTTATTTTTTGTTTTATGTACTTGTTTTATTTTTGTAAATATATTTTAAATCTTAAAACTCGACTTTGACTACCTTCAAATAGAAAAAGAGAAAAAAAAAACTTGACTTTAATTACATAAACTTCAGCAATAATCTTTATTTTTATTAAATATTTATATTAATATCCCCGAGACGTTTAAAGTACAAACTACCCTTCCATTAAAAAAAAGGATAAGCTAGAGAAATGACTACACCAAGACGTAGGGACATCAACAATGGTTGGATTCAAAACAGAAAGACGTGGGCATGGCCAATAGGCAATTCCATGTGAAGCAAAGATACTACAGATCATAAGCAAGCAATGCAAGAGGCTGTAATAATATAACTTTTATGTATGTCAGTTTGTTTTTGACAATGTCGTGTGTGTGTGTGTGTGTTGTAATTTAGAGGATTGGCTTTACATAGAAGATCAAATTATTTAGGTCTACTTTTTCTGTCATGCATGCAAGCTAATCATGTAGGTGAATTTAAATGATTTAAAGAGGGGGAAAATAGGAAGAGAAGCTGATTTTTGTCGGGTAAGGATTATCCATGCAATGTATAAACCCTTTTGATGTTGATTTATGATTGATAACGCAACTTTTTTTTTAATGAAAATGTTAGATGAACCGAAACAAGTTTATATGAAAACCTAATTGGTTGATCAATGATCATACCAGTATGAAAACCTAATTGGTTAATCAATGATCATACCAGGGAATTGCGATCGAATTATACCATCACTGGAGATCGCAGGAGATCTGTGAATGAAATGGTGATAGAAAGAGATGGTTGATATTAGCCTATGACTACAATTTCAAGAAAGTACTTACCTCATTCTTTTATATTTCCTCCATCTCATGTGAGATATATACATGATCTTCTTTCTTCACCTTATTGCATGATGCATGCAGGTTCTCATCTGCAAAAATTAAAAACATAGAATTAGGAAGAATCCAGGATTGAAATGTCAATTTTCATTGTCAGGAAAGTTGCTTAATAAAAAGAATCTTCTTTAGATTAGGAGTGGTAAACAGGCAACAATTCTATTTAACCACCAAAATGATCTTAAAGAAACAGCAATTATATATTAACTGGTGTAAAAGAACTTGCAAACAATGCATCAATCCACGAATCACATTCACATCTACTCCTACCTCCACTTCTACCATCACGTAAACATTTTATTAATACGGCATTCGTAATTAACAATTTCAGGCCAGCAACAATTAACTCTTCAGAAATGCTAGTCATGTTTTCCACATATCTTTGGTTATGAGAAGGAAAGCAAGCAAATAGTGACTCTCTAATGATGTTCATCCAACTGTCCATGATCAAGCGCACATCTTCACATCGTTAGCATGATGCAGGAAAACATAATTCCGAAAACAGGGCAACTATTCCCAGATGAGGTTTGCATCCAGCCAATTCCACCTTTCACAGACTCCATCTGTAGGATAAAACTACTACTTTCTCCTATAAATACAGTGCTCTAGCTATTGAAATAGAATGATTCAGACCTTGATCCCATTAAGAATAAAGATACCGCAATAGTCAGAGATACAAAATTTTAACTTCTTCTACCAGCCTGGAATCAAAATATAAGAGCAGGAACAAGTGTTCAGCTTGTACGTGTGATTCATCAATCCAACAGATTTTCTCTATCTAGCTAAAGAAGCTACTCAAGTTGTGCTCTTAGATATCTTCGTAGATTGTTGCTAGGCCAGCTCCTTTCCAATTAAATGGGGAAGAAAAATTACTATCCTCAGCAGTGGGACTATTTTTAATCCCTTCTACAAGATATATGAATTCTAAATCAATTTTAATGAATATCTTAATTGTATATATTTCCAAGTGAACTGTATCAATCTAGAAGTATCGAACCAAATGTTCCAAATAGAACTAACATCTTGTAAGTTCTATCATCCTTGAGCACTTGGAATTAAATGTTTCCACTTCAATCCAAGAGTACTAGTTCCAACACAACCAACCGAATATCTCACCACAAATTGGCACAAACAAGTGCCTGATAGCATGATAACTGACTTTTTGTCTGTAAAACCTTATCCTCGTACAAATCCTTCGCAAATGACAAATGCATATCCACTAACTAATATAACTATAAATTAGTTAACTGGAAATCTAATTTAACCAGAGAAAGGTATAAATCTAAGAAAGTTAGCAAGGATTTGAGTATGAAAGATTAAGATATTCTCGATCACGACAATGTTATTAGATTTAACCACCTAACAGATAGGTCTAACTATGCAAAGCAGGAAATGCCAAATTAAGAGAATGAAATCAAAGATAGTGTCAGGGAAGTTCAACTTAAAATGAAATTGAAGATCCATGGAACACATAGAAAAGACAGAGAACTTGCCTATGTAAGTACTGATCAGTAGTCAGCCTCTTCCACATGGCTTCCCATCATCTTTTAGATATATTTCCATGTCATTGAAACTACTTGTAATCACGTAGGTGGCTGGAATAAATTGGCCACTGACTAACTTTGCAGCACAAAAAAAGACAGCAGAGCTGTAGACTTGCACCAGAACAAACTGCAAAATTGCAGATGATTCTACGGACAGGGTATAAAACTGCAGATGATGGATATGAATTTTATCAAAAGATGAACAGAAAACTCCATTCAATCAAGGGGCAGTGAGTTTTGTCTTCGAGCACCATGTGTGTTCTGAAAAGTTGTACCCACAGAACTGGATCATTTACGCAAGCAGATTCAAATTTCGATAACTGAATTTTTCCAAAATCCAGATCCTTTTCTATGTGTACAACATATGCCACCTGCTGCATAAGCTTTATACTAGAATTCCCTCAATCGAAGAAAATGCGATCAATCCCTATCACTAAACTTTCTTTAAATTCTCGTAAGAGTGGGAGAAAATGTTAACGACACAAGATGAATACTGCTACTGCAGACACAAATGTGTACATTTGACTCACTCTTCTTAGCTGGTAAAATCTTTTTTTTTTAAAACTTCTATCTTCATAGGAAATTATAAGTAGTTCTACCAACTTCTACAATCAATGTCAAGATAAATACTTCATCCCAGATACCTCAAGCCAAAATCCAAGAGAAGTCAAAACCAATTATGGTCTAGCTCTTCAGCATATTCTCAACAGACCACAAGAATATATGGAAATAAATACTCTTTCATCTGTTTTCCAAGTAATATATTCCAAAATGGAATAATAACATAGGAACCAAATTCCAAGAAAGATATCTAAATAGGTCCTCATTCGCGTGCACACCATACCATTTTATATTATTCTCTAAAACATTTGACCTCCAAGCTTCAAACACGAACACCACCCTATGTCAGTGGATGCGAAAGGGAACTTCCAGTAAATTTAAGACAAATGGTTCTCCTCTTAAGTGTTGCTAGCAAGAAGAGCACCAAATACCTAAAAGCACAGCACGTTCTCTAATTTCGCAGCAACCATACATCATACGCCACAACAGCAGAAATCAAGAAATAAGAGCTAATAAAAGCACATAAAAGGGCAGCTCCTGAATGCTTTAAACAGTATGCTTCTAGTGCATGAGGCCATTCTCATTATCCAATTGAATTTCTATATCATTTGAGAGAAGAATTCATTCACACATTTCTTTTCCTGACAAAACTCCAACTTATAACACCCTGAATTACAGGCCAAAACTGCACAACTTTGAAGGAATAGCATGCATTCGAAATTTGATTCAACTCCCAACAATGTCCATAAAGTGACCACTCGAAGCTAAGTGGCCGCTCGAAGCTAGTTGAACCATATCCACCCACAGACTTCTGCTCCCAGGTCAAATACTCGAAATGCATATATCCAGAACCAAATTATAACATGCAAATAACATCCCATTTATTTCAGATAGAAAATGATACACTCAAGATTAACACATTCCCCTCCAATGATATTCACCAAATTATAACTTCCAATTTTCAAGAAAAAAGTGCCCTCTAACAAAAACACTACAATTCAAGTGTTTCATGAGACAACCTAGTAAATAAAATAATTTACAAGACTAAGACATACAGTTTGTGTACGATTGGATGCTACATTACCTTTCTGCAACAAGCAATTGCAGCCTTCTATGATCTATCAAAGACAGATGGTTCCAGGAATTTTGCCGAATAGGTAAAAAAAGTAACATGTATATTAACATGTAGGTAATAACCAAAAGCTTCATTCATGGGTCGTAAACTTCAAATTGACCCCAGATTAACTACCTTATTTAGGGGGCAACATTTCTACCTAAAGTAGCATTAGCTACATTATCTCTCTGCAGCAAGACAGAACATCATTGCAGCCTTCTATGATCTACTATCTAAGACAGATGGTTCCAGGAATTTTGCTGAACAGGTCAAAAGGGTAGGGTAGATGTATATTAACATGTAGGTACTAGGTAGTAACCACAAGCTTCATTCATGGGCTGTAAACTTCAAATGGACCCAAGATTAACTACCTTATTTAGGGGGGCAGAATTTATACCTAAAGTAGCATTAGTTATATTCAAGCAGCACAGTTAATAAAATAAAACAAACAACAATAAAAAATGATGATGAAATTTTGACCCAACAGAAGTTAAAATTATCATTTTACGGTTTCGTGCATATAAGGAGTACCACTTCCACTACCAATGAAAAGAAAGCAACACCAAATCTTATATAAGAAGCTTAACATGGCTAACAATGTATTGGATAAAAATTACTGATTTGGCAGGCAAATATAGAGGACGAACTCCACATTGTCCAATATTTTGCACTTCCAAAATGAAGCAACAATTTCGCATTTCTTCCGTTAAGCAAAACTCTGCTAGCGGCGTGTAGTGCGAGGCTTCTCCCAAGTCCCAGGACGAGGACCATGAAAAGGACCCTTATCAGCAGCAGCCTGTTAAGTAAAAACAAGTGTTAATTGAGAAAAAAATCCCAACGTTTTAGATTTATTGTCAAACAAATAAATCAAACAAGAAGATGAACATAGATACCAGATGAGCTCCATATCCTTCATATGATGCAGGAAAAGCCCCTTCTGAACTGTTGAATTTCATTCCATATGGTCCACCTTGAGCCACCAATTATCAAGACATTGAGTCAATTGAGCAGGCCAAAAGTTCAAGGCAAAAAACATGAAGCGTGAATGCAGGTTTAATAGAATCCAAAAAAATGTACCAGACCATTTGAAGTTCAGACTTTTCACAAGATGGTCCCAAGTTCTAACCCTCAAAATTTTAAAAAGGGGGAGGGTGTTATGGAGTACATCTATTTAAGGAAAGGCCATTATATAAGTTCGATTTTCTATTTAAGGCTTAGGTTGTGATTTTATTTCCTTCCTTAGGTTCTTGATTATGCTTTTTATTTCAGTTTATTTATTTTCTTTTTAACAATAGGTTTCCTCTTATGTAATGAAAATGGTCCTTATTTAAAGGGACATATGAAATAATAAAGCCCTAAGTCAGAATTAAAAAAAATATAAAGATCTTGTTCTCTCTTCTAAGGAGTCCTGAGGTTTCAGTCTCCCTCCGATGAGTTGAATCATAAATCCAAAACATGAGATCATAAGATTGTAACAGAGGGGAAGGGGAACAAACTCCATTATATTCTACTGGTCTTGGTAGGAAAGATTAGAAAATTGTTAGACTGTATAGAAATTTTGGAAACACAAAGTGTGGAACGTAACCAGCCAGATAATATAAGTAAGATAGATCATACCAGCAGCCCAAGGTCTTCCATCCACAATGGAAAGTTCTGCACGTAGCTTTTCAACTTCACGTGCCATGGAGACCATGTTCTTCTCCATTGCTTGTCTCTGCTCCATCAGCTCACTATTTGCCTTCTTTTCATAATCAATGGCATTCCTATTAAATAAATTTTTAATTTAGCATTTAAATATATAATTGGATATATGAATTATTAGCACTGCAAGTTAAACTCTCAACAGAAACTTTCATTTGTTTGGTTTTTTTAAAAAGAAAAAAAAAAGGTGAAAAAGGAGTCAGGTATGTACCTTGCACGCATCAATTCCTGGTGCAGGCCATCAATTTCTGCTCTTAGAACAGACATCTGTTGATTATCTGCTTGCAGCCTGGCCACATCTTGCTTGAGAGTCTGAACTTGACCAGTTAGTTCCTGCTTAAGATTATTCAGTTTTTTAACTTCTGCACGGAGTTTCACAGCCTCCTTCTTCAGTGGCTCAGTTGCACGGAGATCTGCCTCCAGCATCAAGCCTCTGTCAATAAGTGCCCTCGAGTGCAGCTCTTGCTCAGCACGAATGTCACCAATGACAAGATTCAAGCGGTGAATTTCATCTTTCGCAGCACCAAGCTCTTGTTGTATAGCCATTCGATCTTCTGCCAGCCTGCCGTTATCACTCAAAAGCCTCCGAATTTCAGAATGTTGCATCTCAAGTTCTTCCTCCAATAACGCAGGATGAGGAGGTCGCTGTGGCAGAGGAGGACCACGGTGGAAAGGTCTTTCAGGAGGAAATCCCCGCAAGTCATTGAAGGCCTCACGAGGAATGCGGTGTCTGCCAGCCATTTTAAATTATTCTGGGAAAATATAACACAATAAAATAATCTTTGGTCAGCTTTTATGAATATTTGAATTATTTTAAAATCAGCTTTTCTGACTACGGTACCATGAAAGAAATAGTATATGCTCGCAGCATTTTCACACAAAAACTGTTAGTCAAAACCTTCATGAAATTTATGCCGTCTACTTCAAAGAGGAAAAAGATACATTAACCATATAGCAAGTGGCAACTGGATCCAAAGATATTCCATAGTAGATAACCAGAACAAAAAGAACAAAATTAAAAATCAGAAGCACCAAGAGGAAAAGGATACATTAACCATTGTCTTGATTGGACCCGCACCAATACCAGGAGAAAAAAAAAAAGAACTAAAAAACACTGAAATCCCTTTGGTTCTATAAAATATCCATATCTGAAACACTAGAAACCAAATTCCATTAAACCAACTTGAAATTTCTAATCATCTATTTCCGATTTTGCAATATTAAGTTCTCTTATAATATATATATAAATTAACAAAAACAAACAGAGGAGAGAAAGAAGTTAGAAAATCAAAACCATGCATTTAGAAAATAACTAAAAAAACCTGAATTCCCAATGTAAAACAGTGAAAAAATCACTATTTCGTCGTACTTGAGCAAATTGAGTGGGGGATCTCACTTCTTCTCTTTGATTCAAATATGCTTTGCCTGCACAACCAAACAGTGAATTAAGAAAAAAAAAATAACTAACAGCTCAAGAAGAAGAAGAAACTTTTTCAGAGACATCCGAGTTCTAAGCTTCTGTTAATGTTACTTGAAGAATAATAAAATGGAAAAAATGAATATGAATTAAAACCTGAGAATACAAAACGAACGATTAGGGTTTGTGAGAAAGTGACTTGATCGAAATGGTATAAAACCTTTTTTTTTTTTCTCTTTGAGATGGGAAGCAGCTAACTTAGAGTCGGCCAGACCCCAAAACGAATATAAATTGGGTAAACTAGACCCCATGTCACTCTCGTTTGTTTTTCATCTTATTTTAATCATTAATCTTTCAATTATTATGTTTTGATCACTTACGTTATCAATTTATTATGTTTTGATCATTGAACTATTGAACTGTTGACTCTCCTCATTTAACAGAAGCTTGTCATGGCACGGAAATAAAATTATTTTTTCTCTAAAATGAAACCTTAGTTCGGTACTTGTGTCGTTGGCAATATTGTCATGCAAATACGAACATCGTAACACATTAAATTAAATTTGATCATCCGCCACGTTATCCTCCAAAGAGTAGGAAGAGATCTTTGACCTTAGTAGTCCAAGTATTATAAAAAATATCATGCCAAAATGTGCAACCTAAAAGATAACATTGATCTGTTATTGAACCTTAATTTAATTGACATCTTTGTTATTGTAACGTAAAAGTTGGCTGAAAGTCATAACTGAGGTATGGATTTCACTCGGATGAATTGTTTAAGTAGAGCTTTCTCTTCATCGAGCCGCTTCTTCTCTTCGGGATCTTTCAATTTGACTTTCCCTTTCTCTTCCAATATATATTTAAAAAGTTCACGCTGCTGACTCTCCGGGATAAGTTCAATCACCTTCAAATACCGTGTGACGGGTGGCGCAGGTAATGAGGTTTCGGTAATAGCAAGAGGAGCGACAGTTGTAGTTGAAACAGGAGGACTCGAATCAACATCTTCTCCGGTTATGCTCGAGTCCTTTTTCTTCGTTCTCATGAAAAGATAAGCTGCATTAATCATACAGATTTTTATCAGACAAATACACACTTATGTTGAAGTGAGTTCGGACCAAGGAAAGAGGCATAAACCGGTGAAGTTGAACCACAAATCGGTTAACAGATTATAGAAGCAAGACAGGTAATGCTAATTATTACAGCCCGGCAAAGAAAATCGATCAAATTGTTCTCCTCAAGTGAACAACATATGTAGAAAAAGATGTTACACTAATTAACAACAGCTAGTTCTCTTCCCTGACCTACAATTAATTATCAGAACCTGAAATTGTTAAAAGTCCATACACAAATGAAGACATTTTCTTACCAATGATGAACAACTCATTTTACTCTCATTTGAACATGATTCAGGTTCTTCATTTGGTAATTATCAATTATCATATAAAAGAAAAACACTAGAAAGAAAACTGAAACTAACATGAAAATAAAAACTTTCACTGATTTGAGGACTAGGAATCCAAGCTTGATATGAAGGAAATGGCTATATGAATGCCGTAGCTATTATTAAATATTTGCTCCTCTATAATCTTGAATCAGTTATAACTTATGGCTAATACGGTCGAAATGTTGATGTGGAAAAAAAACCCAATCAAGCAGCTTTCAATCAGTAAACAGGAAACACATCAGCAATCAAGTCACTCATCATCATCGTTATAAGTCCCAACGAATATGGAGATAATCACTCCACGATGCTCGGTGCATAAGTTTAGTAACAATGAATTTAAGAGAATACCATAGCACGGAGTTTGGATGTAAACCATTCAAACCCATCAGTTCGATACACGTTTAGATCGTGAATGTACCTAAAGTTAGAGATTACTCATTTACATATATATATATATATAATCAAAACACTTCCTTTGGTTGAATACCAGAAAAATCAGCTTTTTTGTTCATCAGCTCAACTAAATATTTTGGGGATCAGTTGGGTGGAATAGTCATGGTTTCTGGGGATTAAAGCTGGTCAGCTAAGTTGGGATATGAACTAACAAGAGAGAAATCGTAGTCTCATGATTCATCTTGATCATGAAAAATTGAAAATCCCTAAACTTCTTCCAAACAACAATTGCCCATCACAAACAGAATCAAGAACTACACCGAAAAAGCATAACGATCAAGAATCGAGCCAAATTAAAAAGAATCCATTAAACTACTGATCATTCAAATACTAAAAAGAAAAAAAAAGGAAAGGAAATCACCTCCGACAGTAAAGTTGACAGCCAAAAGAAGAGGCCAAAGGAACTTGTAACGCCTTGCAAAAGACTTCCTTGGAGGCTGAGGTGGCGGCGGCGACGGCGGCGACTGATCCATTGTATAGGCTGCTGTTGCACCTGATGATGTTGAAGGAAAATCCTTTCCTTGCTGCTGAAATTGCTTCAACTGAGTTGCAGTTATCGAATTTCAAACAACCAAGTACCTCGAGGTTAAAAAGAAGTTAACTTTGTTGTCGAAACGATTTTTTTCCTTAAAGGTGAAAAAAGTCGTTTCGACAGCTTGGCGACTCCGCTGGGGACTTTTTTTAGAGAGTCAGGCCGATAGTCAATTAATTAATTGTCTTTGCAATTGAAAATTACAAATTCGTTTTAATTTGATTTTTGATCCCTTGTTTGGTTTTTAATAAGTTTTGTTTGTATTTTGATTTCTTTAATTTAATTTGATTGACAATTAAATAGTTGTACTGATCTGTTTGCTAATGATTTCAGAATAATTGTGTGTTTTGGGAATTGATTTTGAGTGTTTTTATTGTTTGTTTTTTTGCTTTTCCTCACACACTGCACAGCTGCATTGTCATAACATGAGCTAAAACCCCGCTCCGTCCTATTTAAGTAGGAGTGAGAGACTATGCCCTCGTGTGGTTTTCACCTCCGCATGGGATAGTGGATCGCTCCTGGAGCTCACGCCTTATGGTCCTCGTGATGGTAATCACCTCCGCATGGACATAAGGAGGTGTGTTCCCTCAAAATTGAACTCGATCCCCTAAAGCCTGTGATGGGCCAGGATTAAGGGTTCGGCAGCCTAATGGGGCACCGACAAGGACAATTCGAGAACATATTACTTTAGAACCTAACCCAGCATATAGTGAACATAGAGCCTGAACTTATGTTGAACCAAACCCGAACCTTAAGAATCCCGTGAGGAGGGTACACAAGGAAAAGCTTTTTTGAGTCATTTATTTTCATTTTTTCGAATAAGCATGCGAATTAGATATCATGCGGTTAGGATTTCTTTTTGTGGATAACAAAGCATGGGGGTAGATATCATGTTGGGTAGGATCTGATAAAGCATGATTGGGTAGCCAGCATGTGGGTAGGATTCTTGAATAAATTATTATCCCGACTTAATTGCTTTATGTTTACTAACCGATCTTTTGTTGTTTTTGCCTTGTTTCTTTTCTGTTTTGCATTGCATTGTCCATTACATGGTGTTGATTTGGGGTCGATGTCCATATAGAAGGCCAGTAATATGGAACGAACGGTTCGGAAAGAGGTTGAGGACAATGCAGATGTTCTGAGGTGGTCGGAACAGTCCCAGTTGACCAATGGAGACAGCGTGATGCCTGGATATGTGTCAGAGTTATTTGGTTACACTCACATCAACGTACGTCAGAATGATCTGAGTGAGCTAAGAGAGATATGGGGAAGATGGGAAGCAGCCGATAAGGAGATGTTTTATCAGTTGTACGGCGATATTCCTTGTCTTCTGGATGTTCCTATTGACCGAAATCTGTTTAGAGCATTGGCGCAGTTCTGGAATCCGGCTTATAGCTGTTTCATATTTGGTAGGGTGGACCTGACACCAACAATAGAGGAGTATCAAGCTTTGGTCCGTTATCCGAGGTCCCAAATGGATAGAATATATACCAAGCTGCCAGTCACTCTTTCATTTAAGAAGAAATTACTATTGATGACCGGAATGAGTGAAGATTGGGTAATCAGAAACATTAAGAAGAAGGGAGACAGTGAGTGCATCTCTTGGGCGGTTCTGAAAGAAGTAATTGCTCATCATCCTGATAAGAGAAAGAAGCTTGATTTGTTTACTTTAGGGATTTATGGGCTCATCATTTTTCCAAAAGTGCTAGGATATGTAGATGTATCAGTTGTTGACCTGTTTGAAAGATTAGACAAGCACGTGGATCCTGTTCCAGCTATTCTAGCTGAGACGTTTCGGTCTTAGAGTTCTTGTAGGCGCGAGGGAGAAGGACGCTTTATAGGATGTGCGCCTTTGCTGCTAGTGTGGATTCTGAATCATTTTAAACATGTTGAAAGAGCACCAGGACGAGTGTTTCTAGAGGGGTTTTCGCCTTTGAAAGATTTTCTTTCTAAAGAGTGGCCTGGGGGTTTTACTGAAGAAAAATGGATGGTCATCTTCAAGGATATCAGAGATGGAGATATTTTGTGGCGAGCTTCGTGGAATACCTCTTCGGATATACTTTACCGATGTGGAGAGCGAGATTGGGTTCCTTTGCCAGGTATATGGGGTTCTGTTGGGTATGCACCGCTACTAGTTTCCAGACAGTATGGGTCAAGGCAGTTCATTCCAGCCACATGGGACTTGGTAGGGTCAGATTTTGCATTCAAAGGAGATCAGTATAAGGGTAAAGTTAAAGGGGTTGCTGAGGCCTGGAAGTAAACTCGTCGTGTGAATCTGTTCACTTATGATCTCGAGTTATCTCAAGAGTACGAGCAGTGGAGAAGCGGTCGAGTAAATGACAATATCCCGATGGTGAATCCTGAAAATATTCAGCCGGTGGAGGAACAGTTGAGAGTGGTGCCATCTCCATTAGAGTTAGCCAAGCGCGATTTCGAAGCAGAACGGAGACAATGGAGAATGACTTTGCAGAAGCTAGAAGATGAAGTGTATCAAAAAGGATTGGAGATTGATATTCAGAAGAGTAGAGCAGATCGAATTGAAAAAGTAGAGAAGCAACTTCGGCTAGACTTTGACGATCTTCGGTCAACTTATCAGCGAATGGTAAAAGCTCAGGCAGGTTCTAGCTCGAGTAAGTCTGTCGAATTGAGGCAAGAGGTGGTGAACCTCAAAAGATTAGCCAGAGAGAGTCAAGAAGAGCTCAAGCAAAGCAGGCACCAAGTTAAGATTTTATCGAAGGAAAATGATTCTTTAGAGCAGCGGTTACAAGAGAGTCAAGCCCAGAATGAGAAGTTGAAGGGGAAAACTTCAAGTTTAGAGACTGCATTACGACAATACCGAAGCGGGGAAGGTAGCTCGAGCCGTGGGGAGGTTGAAAGTTTGAAGAGACAAGTGAGTGAGCTTGAAGCCATGGTTCAAGAGTTTCAGAGGCAAGCAAGTGAGCTATCGATAGTTCCCTATGAGGGGGATATACAGTGGCGTTTTCGGTGGGAGCGAGCTCAGGCGAGAGTTAAGCAAATAGAGGATTTTATTGCTTGTTACCTAGACCACGCGCGGGGAATAGCTCAATATTTGGTCATTCTATCTGAGGAAGCTGCTGATGTGACTGAAGAACTGGATCCTGAGGCTGAAGAAAACCAGAAGATCATGGAGTTGCTAGCACATGTACAGCAAATAGGAGAAATGGTGCAGATTTATTTGTGATGTGTTTCAACTTTGTACTTGAACGTCGTTCTAATATAAAGAGTTGTTCTAAGGAGTCGTTCCAGGATCAACACCCTTCATTTTGCATATGCATTTTTAATGCATTTAATTTTTGCATCGCATTTTATTCATTCATAATCATATATTTCATATTCATTAATAAATATCAGCGATAACAAAATGACTCTGTGACAGAGTAATACTGGAAAATCCCAAGCATATCTACAGAACCAGGAAGAAAGTTATAGAAGACAAACTTGCCCAAATTGAGAAGGCTCAGTCGGAGTTACAAGATAATATCAAGAAAATGCAAGAAGATATGATGAATGCCCAAAAGGAGATGTTTGCCAAGTTTGCGAGTATATTGGAAGGAAGAAATCCAGAACATGGGAAAAGCCCTATGCCAGAAGGTGTAACTGAAGACCCACTTCATCATTCAGGGTTAACCCCAGAACAATCTCAGAATGTTCAAGTGACCCTTGTTCATGTCGGGAAGGTGCACATTAATCCAGTCGGTGCTTCTGTTAACGTACAGCCTGGATCTAGTTCGTATCAGGAAGAACATCAATATCATCAAGTTCCGGACCTTGATGAAGAAGCCAAGAAGGACCAAAACAATCTGTTGGAAGAGAAATGGAAGCAGTTAGAAAGAGAGGTCAGAGCCATGAAGGAAGATACCAGTGTCTGTGGATTCGACGCAAAGGAGTTAAGTCTAGTTCCTGATCTGGTCTTACCTCCAAAGTTTAAAGTTCCTGACTTTGAGAAGTTTGATGGTACTAGGTGTCCCTCTGCGCATATCACAATGTTTTGTAGGAAGATGACCGGATACATAGGGGACGATCAATTGTTGATACACTGCTTTCAGGAAAGCTTAACTGGCTCGGCAATCCGATGGTATAACCAGATGAGTAGAGATAATATTAAATCGTGGAAAGACTTGGCTAAGTCCTTTCTTGAGCAATACAAACATGTGAAGGATGTTAGGCCCAACAGGATGATGTTGCAAGGAATGGAAAAGAAGTCTAACGAGAGTTTTAGACAATATGCTCAAAGATGGAGAGATGTAGCAGTGCAAGTCCACCCGCCATTGGAAGAGGAAGAAACAAATATGCTTTTTGTCAACACCTTAAAGGCTCCTTTTTTCTCGCATCTTATTGGTAATCCTTATCGAAGTTTTGCTGATGTAGTTACGGCAGGAGAAATGATTGAAATGGCTGTTAAGAGTGGGAAGCTCGAGGGAGGAGCTGTCGAAACGATTTTTTTCCTTAAAGGTGAAAAAAGGTGATATTTTGAAAACCACATTAATTTTTAGTTTACCTCTTTCAATTGATTTTTAATTTAAAAATAAATGCGATTTAAAAGACCTCTCGTTTCGAAAATTTTTGGTTTCCTTTATGATCAAAAAATACGGTTCAAAGAGTCGCCACCAATCTTTGATTAGGGTGTGATTGGGCACCCAAAAATGCTTTGTCATTTTAAATAAAAATTAATTTTAATTAAAACAACAAATTGAGGTATGCGTTACCAAAATCCGAGTTTGGGAGTCGGTTACGTGTGGGGAAGGATTAGCACCCCCACAACGCCCTAAATCGGTACCTAATCGATTAATTAACGTCCTTGCATTGAACTTTACAAATTCGAATTCAATTTGATTTTTGATCCCATAAAACAAAAATGTAAATTTAAAACATTCAAAAACACTCAAACAAATTAAATTAAAATTACCAAGTCATTTTAGAAAGATAAAGAATGTTCGATTATTTACAAATATCGAGACCAGATCTTAAAGATATAACAACCTTTTCTC